TGTTGCGAGCGAGCCAGCGAGCTTTCTTTCTCTCTCTCTCTCTCTACCTTTACCTCTCTCTCTCTCTCTCTACCTCTCTCTCTCTCTCTCTTTCTCTCTCTACCTCTCTCTCTCTCTCTCTACCTCTCTCTTTCTTCCTCGATTTCCTCCTACCCTCCTTTGTCATTCTCTTTCTCCGCCCGTCTGTCTCTTACTCTCATTCGTGGTCGTTTCTCGCTCTCTCCTTGGTGCTTCTCGTTCTTTCTTTCCTCCTCTCCCCCCTTTCTCTCTCTCTCTCTCTCTCTCTCTCTCTCTGCCTCTGTCCCCCACGCCACCACGGGGCTCACATGTGCTGCGTGGTCGTCCGGTGGTTGGCTCGCACAGAGTAATCGCGTAATTTGCGTGTAACGATGCAATTTGTAGTTATGGCGAGCTCTTTCTGTCTTTTTCTGCCTCTCTGCCCCGCTTCTCAGCCGACGTTTTTACCGGGTACCGGCGACATCGACATCGGCAACGAAATAACGACGATGACGACGACGACGACGACGACGACGACGACGACGACGACGACGACGACGGCACCCGAGTGCTCCAGAACGAGCAGGCCTCGTCAGCTCGTTAAGTCCGCCTTTCTAAGCCGTCATCGACGAGAGCTCGTTTCCCCTCGCACGCGGGCAAATCCTCGATCGCCGGTCGGCCGTCGTCGGCTCGAAACGCGTTACTTTTCGATAATCGTTTAATCCTTCTTTTGCTTCCTTTGCGGCGCGACAAGCCGCTGCTTGTCGAAAGGCGCGACTCGACGCTTCATCTTCCCGGATCAAGGCGACGACTCGCGCGCCTTTCTTACGCGATCGTTCGTGTTACCGGTATCGCGTCCTCTATCTCGACAGCGAGGGCGAGGGGGAGAAAGACAGAGAGAACGATGCCTCCGCGGCGGCGGCGGCGGCGGCGGCGACGGGATCCGCGGGATCGCGCGCGAGAAAACGAGAGCGTCAGGTACGGCGAGGCCGCGAATGACTTACGGATCGCGGAGCCGAGAGCGCAGGCCACCTCTTTATCTCGATTCGAAAGTTCGTGCGCAGCGGGCGTCCTGTTACGATATAAATTGCCGACTTAGCTCGGTATAACTACTTATCTATGTGTACGCGTCGTGCCATCGATCGCGATAGCCGACTTCGCTACACCTCTCGAGGAGGCTCTCGATCCAGCCTTCCTCCCTCTCGCCCGGGCCTCACCTGCGCGCTCGCGCCGAGTGCAGCCGCACGTAATCCTTGTGGAAGCGCGCGCACGCGATTCCCCGCCGATCCTCGAGCCTCGAGTATAAGTAATTTCAGCGCGAGCCGTATCGCGTCGCCCGCGAGCGTTACCGCCGCCGTCGCGAATTTGCGACGGAGGAACTGCGATATCCGCCCGCACCGCATAATTTCGTGGCGACGTGCTTACGTGTCGCATCGGCATTCAACGGGGCGGTGTCATTAGTTAAATTACGTGACAAATGCCGCGGCGACGCTGCGTAGCGCGAGGACCGACACGGCACCTTTCGTCGACACAAGGGGATAATCCTGCCGTTGTCGCGCTGTACGAGCGCGCGCGGCCGGGACGACGCCGACGGTGCGCCGTTGACTCCGGGCGAGATTGATGAACAGCGTTAATCGCCGCGGGATTCCAGATGATACGCAACATTTCCTTTCGGATATTTTCCCTCCCGGCGTTCATTTCGGGATTACTTAACGTTCCGTTACCTCCATATTCCGCCATTCCGTACTGTCTCATGAACCTGATTAACCTGATCATCTCTCTCTGTTCCACTTGCGTTTTATCTTGATCTCTCGATGAACAGGCCTGTTAATTATGCGTCATCAAACACGAATTTGAAACGCAGCGAATAAACGCAGTGTGCGACGTGTTTGTCAAGCAATTATGCTTGCTCACCTCGTCTGACTGACAAGGAAACATAGGGAACTCGGAAGTTCAAAAAATTATGAAACTTTGTGTGGAAGTAAAAAACAATTCATTCGTAACGCAAAACCATTTTTTCGCTCGTCGTTCGAATTCTAGTCTGAGAGGGTGAAATCGCCCTTCGAAAAAAAAATTATTTTCATTTTTAACGCGTATCTCTTAAAATACGAGGCATATATAAAAATAGTTTATATGAAAATTGTAGTGTATCTCATACTCTTTGCAATTGTGTGTTCAGATTTTGTAAAATTGACAAATTTAAACCCCCCCCCCCCCCCCGCCGTCCTTCAATTTTGCAAAATCTGATCTCTCTCTCTCTCTCTCTCTCTCTCTCTCTGATCCTGCTTGAATCATGAATTTTATGACGAATGTTCAATCTTAATCGTCGATTTGTGCCGACCTCTACCGAGACTCCTCAATCGATCGCAATGCCACACACCGCATCGCACCTCTTCGCTCCTCCGAAAATTTAATACGAGTCTCCGACTTTGTTTCGTTCGTGCTTACGAGCACACAGGTGAGCGCGCGCGCGCGCGCGCGCGCGGAGCCCGTTTTAATTAAACGCAACGCGCGGCCCGATCACCTTTTAACCTCGGCACGCTGCGCGCGCGTCCGCGTTGCCCGGTTCACGTGCGTGTCCCACGTGTTTTTACGACGCGGAGTTATTGCTCGCCTCGCTGTTTATTAAATCGAATTGTGTCGCGCCGGCCGTCGTGTCGCGCGTCACCCCACGGCAGTTCTTACCCTTTATCGAGGGCCCCCACCTCGCCGCCCCATTACCACTCACAATTAAGCTAACCGCTCATTAAGAAGCCGCTAGCACGGCCATTCGCGCGCCAATCAGAAGGGCGGCCGACCACCGGTCGGCTCCACGCGATACGATTACGTCACCTTCGCCGCTTCGCGGCTTTCCACGCAGGATACACGAATGGATTGATCTGGTCCTGTTCTCGTTAATGACGGAATTTGTCTCGTTAAAAACGATCACGTCAACGAAATCGAGTAGAGGTAAAAGTAACTCGAAAAGAGACGATCTCCCTAGCTCTGGTTTCGCCTCGACTGCCTGGGACGGCCCGACGACGGCAGTCCTGGTGAAACCGCTCGCTCTTCTCGAGTCGAGTGCGGGCCGCGACATCGCGCGTTTCGCGTTTCGCGAAATTATCCAGGCACCATCGATCACACGTCGCCTGTCGCGGATCGATATCTCGGAATAATCGGCGGCGAAAGCTTCGCCGGTGCCGACCGGCCGGCCGCAGGAGAGAGCAACCGGCGTGCGGCCGATCTCGTCGGGACGGCTATTGATAGGATTTTCGTGATCGAGTCCGTCGGCGCTCTCGACCACGCTCGTCGTGCGCTCATCCCCATCCGGAGGAGATGGCCTCGCGCATCCGCGCGCTGCCCACGTCGAGCCCAAGGTGCATCGGTCCCCCTCGACTCGGTCGCTGCAACGTGCATGTTACAGAATTTGCGTAATCACGTATCGTCCGAGCCCCCCGCGCTCTCCCGGCCGCTCCTTCCCCCCCGATCGCGCGCTACGCAATCCTGCGGTTTCTGCGCGTGGGCGCGCGCGTCCGGCAACGAGAGGGAAACTTAACGAGTTACTCCCGCGGGTATTAGTCCTCCTGTCGCGTTCGCGGCTGCTCGTAACACGCGCCCGGCCGGCTCCACCGATGGCTTCGGCCGATCTCCGACGCTGAGCGTCTTTCACGATCGTCGATCGCGCGCGCGCGCGTTATCCGTCGCGCGATCGCGCCGACCGTTGCGCGCGAGTTGACGCGGACGCGTCCACGCAGGAGGTAATTGGTCTGTTCTTTTTAGCTGCGCTACTGAACTGGTGCAATAAGTTAAAGTGAGAAAAAATAAAGTATCGTTGTCTCATTCTAACTGATTGCACTAGTTCGGCAGTGTGCAGTTCAAAAGAACAGACGAAATCTCTCGTGGCCGGCGGCGGAGGCTGCTGGATGTTTTCATATCGAGAGATATGAATCGGCCTCGCGATGCCCGACGATCGTAGTCGCTGTTGCTCGTCGGAGAAAGCTGCGTTCCAAGTCGCCGAGACGCTCGGATCGCTCGCTCGATATCGCTCGATTATCTGTTAGGGAAACTTTTCGTACTCTTCGTACTTGAAATCTTTCAGTTTTCGCGTTTATAGTTGCGGCAGCGTGCGAAGCAAGTGAAGAGCGCGGAAAAACGAAAAGACTCTCCGGTACCCGTAATATTTTGTCGCGACACGCTCGCTCCCCGAGACTGACGAAATTTGCTGCGGAGCGGCAACCCGATTGTCTCGGGTTTCCTGGCTCAATTGATTTCGCCCTGGTCTCGCTTTGTGCGCAGGGATGCGACGATTTCTCGAAAATATCGATAACGATATTATCGTCATTCAGAGAACCATCGATAACGATAATATCGATAATTTTGAAAAATATCGATATTTTATATGTTATATAAAAAAAATGTACACATATAGGGGTATGCGTATAAAGGGTATACACGAAAAATTTAAAAAGATCTTTTAAAAATGTTTATCTTCGTATAATTTATTGTCATATTCTTATTAGAAAATATATAATAAACCGCAGTCGTTTGCCGGAGATTACGGAGCATACATCGAGCAGGAGATTTATCACGGTTCAACGATTGAGGTGAAAATGATAAAAATGAGCGAATTTACTGGACATCGACCAATCACATAATATATATTCCAGTAAATTCACTCACTTTTCTAATTTTCATCTCGGTCGTAGAACGTAGAACCGAGAATAGGCTCCCAGAGCTGTAGCCGGAAAATACGAAATATCAGTAAAATTCATATCGACATATCGATTTTATCGGAGACAAGAAAATATCGATAAATATTCGATATTTTGTCTCTCGATATATCGACATTCCGATATTATCGATTTATCGTTGCATTCCTATTTGTGCGTCACTTGCGACCGATGAATCACCATCATTGTTGTTGTTGTTGTTGTTGAATGCCCTGCGGAACGGGAATGGAAAAGAACCTGAGCGGATTTTTTGCTGGGAATCACAATTAATACGAGCGCTCCGCTTGCTTGCAGGTTGCAAGAGCTTCTTCAAGAGAAGCGTCAGGCGGAACCTGACGTACTCGTGTCGGGGGAACAGGAACTGTCCCATCGACCAGCATCATAGGAACCAGTGCCAGTTTTGCCGCTTGAAGAAGTGCCTGAAGATGGGCATGCGCCGGGAAGGTATGCATTGTACTGAACCCTTCTTACGGATTTATTAGCGTTAGTTCTCGCCGGGTGATCGCATCGAGAGCCGCCTAGACGGCGTCGCACACGTCCGGCGGAAATTCTTCGAGAAAATATTGCGAGCGCCGATTCACCTTTTCTTCGCCGAGGAAAATTTCACGCGAGAACTCGAGATGCAAATCCCGCTCGACCGGCCGCGCGATCGGCAGAGCGATCGTTATTTTGCTCGATCATTCGTTAGAAATTATACGAAGGTCCTTGCGAAAGTCTTGATGTGTCAACCCGGGACGTTGGAATGCTTTTCTATCGGAGTCTCGATTTCGAATTTGTCCAAGTCACAGTATAAGAAAGAACAGTAAGTTCAGCTCGGTGGTTTTTTTTGCTCAGGTGCTACAAGATTATCGCCGTGTTATCGGTTGTGTGCGGGTTATAATTTGAATGACAATGAATAGTAGCTAAAACAGATTTATCGCTGTTTCTCAATATTTACTGTCAAATCTATAATATACATTATAAAATAATATAATATAAAAATATGAACTATTATTAATATAATATGTTAATAATATTATAATTAATAATATACAGCATATTACGAATTATAATATAGAAAGATGTATATATATATATATACGGGGTGCTAAATTTCAAATGTAACAGGTAAAAAATCTCGGAAACTAAATGATATTGAGGTCCGCCTTTTTTTTTTTCTATATTGTATCGTTTCGAAGGGGACACACATTTTGATTAAAACAAAATTTAACACACTTTGCAAATTTAAATTTGCACTTTTGCAGTTTATTATGCAACATTTATACCCACCTCTTTCATTCATTTTACTGATTTGAATGAAACAGCAATATTATATTAAAAATTCGGTCATATGGTCACAATCGCTGCTTACAGAGTTACACATTTTGACTGAGCTATTGGCCGCCATATTGTTGGTTGTGCAGTTCGGTCGCAGCGCGACAAACGACCTACTCGCACTATTTTGTGCTGAGTGAACCTACTGTTCTTTCTTATACTACGTCCAAGTCGTTAGTCGGGATGCAATTTCTCTGATTCGAGAAGCAGGCAGATAAAAATGTCACGGCGCATGCGATATCTTTTCCCGAGGATCCGGTTGCTCATTGAATCGCGTTTGCGGGTCATTTGCAAGGAAAAACGGCAAGTCGTCGTGACGAGGCGATGTTTCTCCTGTATATATAAAACGACGCCTTAAGCGTTCGAAGCGGCATAATGGATCGACACATGTGCCGAGCGTGTCGAGGTCGAAGTGCACGACGGCGAAGACGTCTCCGTTTGTTCGTCGCGCTGTTCTTCGAGACGAGGCACGCGTCCGCGATCCGACGGCTCGCGAGCTATTCGCGATGCCGAGAGCGAGCTGCGCTCGACGCGAGCCCACTTCCTGGTTCTCGTTGCTCGCTCCGTTGCCGCCGTGCGAATCTGGCCGTCTCGCGACTATCCGCTATCTGGAGAAACGTCGCGTCGCCGGGCTATCGATTCGATATGATAACGTTCGCGAGATGCGACTCGCTGTGATCACCCGTTAAACTCTCCGTCGCACGGCTCTCACGGCCCCCGAATCGAGCTCTCGCGATACTCCGCGCTTCTCCTAACCGATCGACCTGCGGAATATACGTCACTCTGCGTCTGTTATTTATACCTTGTGCATACGCACGGCGTACGCAGAGAAGTATGCGAAAATTGACGCTTCTCTGAGCGCATTCCTTGACGATTGATCAACGAGGAATTTCACAATCTCGCTCGTCTTATCATGTTGCATTGTGAAATCATTCACGTTGACCTGAGCTTTCGTTACGGTTAAGTTTCTAACTTGAGTAATCTATCTTCACGATCCCCCGACTGTGTGCGCGGTTTTACGCGGCGATGCATGAGCGTTATTTCGCACGTGGAAATTCCGCGAAAACAATCGCAAGTGACGAGTCCAGCGCACCGTCAGCATCAGGTGAGCAGATATCGGTTAGACGTTGGACCTTATCAGCGCGGATTCGCGTTATCGACGTCGAACGCGCACAGCGTTCCCCGTAATTTTTCGGCCAAGTGCGCGGTGCACTCCGTCGCGCGGCGGCGACTTTTTAATTGCGGCTGCTCGTGGAAAGGCCGCGAGAGGTTCCCACGCCTTATCCCCCGCCCGCGATTCCACGTTCCTCCGCTCTTGAACTTGGCTACTCGCGCGGCGCGCCGATAACATCTAACCTTGTTCCGCCGCGCGCACGAGGACGAGAGGAGGCGCTCTCGCTGGTGGTCATCGGCTCTCGCGGCCTGCCCAGGTGTGCGCGCAGCCACTTCCGTCCGTCTGCCCCGAAGCGCCCCCGCACCCGCACCCGCACCCGCGCTCGTAAACCCGCTGAATCGCGCGTTTTTACGCGCGGCGCGGCCGCACGCGTCGGCCCGAGAGAAACGCGCGCGCCGGCGCGACGCGGCGCGGCGTCTCCGGAGGAAAACACCTTCGACGGGGACGAGCGAATCAACGGGAATTATCGACGCGTCTTCTGTCCTTCAAACTCGGCCCGTCGGAATGGCTGAGCGCGAAAGATCGACGAATGCGAGAGCCTCGACGTAGCGAGATAATTCATCTTATTGATAAGGTATCTCGTTTTAATCTTTGACCCTCTCTCAAAGATAACTCCACCTTGTCGGAGTCCAGCGATACACGGAGAGAAATGGCCGATAAAAAGTATTGCGAAATTTCGCAAGCGGCCAATATATCGACGTTTTGCCTCTTACGGTGCCTTTCATGTGTGTGCTTGTACACATTTTTACGATTGTTTGCACACCGCCAGAAAATTTGATATCTACATATCTAAAAATTTATTTTCGTGCGTTACTGAAAAATATGATGAAATTCGAAAAGATTTATACGAAAAATTAGCTGCGGTATTCCCTGCCCCCCCCCTCTCTCCCATGCGCGGAGGGTCAATTAAGCGGCACTCAACGTCTACCTGCGTATTTCGAGAGTCTATCATCCCGCCGCGAGCATCCCCCGCGAAAGGATGGTCCTTCCTCTCTCCTGTCGAGCTGCCTCGCGACTTCCCAGTCCTTTGGCGTGTTCTCGGGTCTCGCGAGCGAAACGTCGTAGTTGCACTTGGTGAAAGAAGCCCGCGCACGATTATTCGCACGAGACTCGCGGCGTCGGCGGTGGCGGCGGCGGCGGCGGCGGCTCGTCCGCGGCGCACTTTTTCCCACAGGAACGTACACGAGAAGCGCGGAGAAGACGTCGCGTTTTCTGCCCTGTCACAGCGACATCCGCCCATTATCCGCGATGATGCCCCGCTCTTTGATAATAATTCGAGTCGCTGGCGCGCGCGCGCGAGCGGGGCACGTAACTCTGTATACACTCACCTGGCCTCTGGCGTATGTACGCTCGCACGAAAGGCGCGCGGCAACGAAAGAGAGAAAGAAAAAGGGCAGAGTAGGCGGCGGGTAGCGGGAAGAGGAGGGCTAGGCGGAGGAAGCAGAAGACGAAGAAGAAGAAGAAGAGGAAGAGGAGGAGGAGGAGGAGGAGGAGGAGCAGGAGGAAAGAGAGAAGAAGAAGAGTGCGCGAAGGGCGGATGGCCGCGAAAGGGGGGCGGTGGGGCGGGAGGGGCAAGACAGGGGCAAGAGGGGTTGCCGGCAGCGACGGCGGGAGCTGCAGCGGCGACGGCGGTGACGGCGGCGGCGGCTGCGGCGGCGGCAGCAGCAGCAGCAGCAGCAGCAGCAGCAGCAGCAGCAGCAGCAGCAGCAACGGCAACAGCAACGGCAGCAGCAACGGCAGGAGTACGTCGGGAGGAAGTTGAGGAAGAGTGCAGCAGGACGGGAGGGAGGGGGAGGGCTGCAGGAGCGAGAGGAGAGTAGCGGCGACGAGGAGGAGGAGGAGGAGGAGGAGGAGGAGGAGGAGGAGAGAGAACGACGGCGCGGTGAAGGGCGCGCGAAGCGCGGGGCGCATGGAGCGGCGGGGAGGGAGAGAGGCAGAGGAGAACTAGAGAGAGAGGGAGACGATGGTCCGAGGTCAGCGGGGTGCATGACCTTACCTCGGGGGCCCCTTCCTTCCGTGGGGCCCTCGAGGCAGACAGGATGCGCTGAAGATTACCCCGTAGATACTGTCCGCGATGATTACAGAAATCTAGGAAGCCGCTCAATTTAATTAACCCTTAATTGCGAGCGCTCGGGACGGGAGATGGCGCGTTTACTCCGGGACCGGCGCTTTCCCTCCCTCCTCCCCCTCCCCCGCCACCTCGCCAACCATCCTCCCCGTTCCTCTTGTCTATTCGAGGATGATGATTATGATGATGATGATGATGATGATGATGATGATGACGACGACGACGATGATGATGACGGTGATAGTAATGATGTCCGTACGTGCGCGCGCGTGTATGTGTGTGTGTGTGTGTGTGTGTGTGTGTGTATGTGTGTGTGTGTGTGTAAATCTGTCGTATGTTCTTTGCTTGTCGCGCTCGCGCGCGTCGATGCATGAGTTATCGCCTCGCGATCAGCCCTGCACTTTCCTCCAAAGGCGAACGCGTGAGCGAGAGGACGTCGAGATCGAAGGGACACGCGTTGTGAATCCTGAACCGGACACACACCGGGGCTTCTGTGCGGGAAGGATATCAGCGAGCTGCTCAGTCGAAGGTAACAGGTCTCGCGAGTCAGCCTGGATTTCGCCATGATTTTGCATCCTGCGAAAATCATACTTTTCTGCATCTCTAATAACCCCGTGAAGATGATCCTTCGCGGTATGTTAATAAGTGGCTTTTAACGCATTTAAATTATGCCCCGTGCATCCTGACTAGAGTCCCGCACAATGCATTTCCACGCGACGCGATAGCGTCTAAGTTTTTCGAGTTCACCTTCTCGCGGAAAAGACGCGTGCACACATTAGCACGTGTGTGTGTGTGTGTGTGTGTATGTGTGTGTGTGTGTGTGTGTGTGTGTGTGTGTGTGTGTGTGTTGTTAGTCGATTTTTTCCGGTGCACGAGTACGGAATTGGAGATTAGTTT